ATTTGGCAACGGAAGGAAACTCAGAAATTATCTTGTGTAGCCCCTTCATTTTACAGCTTAAGAAAGTGAAAGTATAAAGAGTTGAAGTGGTTTTCCCAAGATCAGACATATAGTAAATAGGAAAAATAGGCCTGAATCTCAAGCCCTTTGATTCCCAAACTAATGTTCTTTCCATTTCCAGGCCCCATTTTCCTTCTTTGTAAAATAGGGGAAACAATATGCAAGCAATAATATGACTTACAGAGAGATCGATTTAGGACAAATTTAATGACTAGACCTAAAAAGTAATTATTAATGCTTTGATTTCTATGTGAAGGAGTCCTCCAGTACAGTTGCCAAAGGAATTGTGATTATTCCATTATTTTTGCTTAAATTATTAAGCTTTTAACCTCTTATCTTTCTATTCCCCCTGCCAATTAAACAAAAACAAAAGGAGCAAAGAAAAAAAAGTAATAACAAATATTCATAATGAAGGAAAGCAAAACCTTTATTGGCCATGTCAAAAAGAGTATGCTTCATTCTGCATTTTGACTTCATCACCCCTCTTTTAGGAAATAGGTTGCATGTTTTATCTTTGGTCCTCTAAAACTGTTTTCTTTACATTTGACAGAATTCTAGACACTTTCAAAGTTCTTCTTTATAATACTGTTTTTTATTTTTACAAATTATTCCCTTGATTCTGCTCACTTCACTCTGGGTCAGTTCATATAGACCTCTGAAACTGTCTATTTTGAAATTTCTTAATGGTGTAATGATATTAATTTTATTCATATGCCACAATCTGTTTAGTCTTTCCCAAATAGAGGGATACTCCCTTAGTTTCAAGGTTCTTACTAGGTCAAAAAGCTCCTGTAAATATTTTTTGTACATATGGGCTTTTCCTTCTTTCTTTAGTCTCTTTGGGGTATATACCTAGGAGTTTTACAGCTGGATCAGAGGGTATGTACAGGTTAGTGCCTTTTTTGCTTACTTCAAAATTGCTTTCCCTAATGTGTGGATCAATATACATCTTCACCAACAGTGCTTCCGTGTTCCTGTTTTCCTACAGCTTGTTTAACATTAGTCATTTTCTGTTTTTTTACTTTTAAAAATTTTTTCAGAGGTGTATTTTGTCATTGGTAACCTGATGACTGACAGGCAGAAATTTGGAGTTGCTTCAATCTTCATTTCTTGGATTATTAGAGATTTGGGGAATTTTTTCATCTATAGTTGATAGCATAGATTTAATTTGAAAACTTCCTGTTTGTATGCTTTTATGATGGATCTATTTTTTGGAATGGCTTTGGTTCTTAAAAATTTGAATTAGTTTCTTATGTATCGTGAATATGATAGACACATTGCAAAGATTCTATTTCAGGTATGTTTTTATTCTCATTACTGTTTAACTTTTTTTTTTTATCGATGACTTTATTAATGATAAAGGCACCTCAGTCTTTCAGATAATATAAATCTGGCAGGTTACTTAGACAATAGAATCAGATTCCAAAAAGACCTTTCTGGTTTAGAGCATTTAACCATGCTTAATTAATTGAAATTTAATGGAGATGAATGAAAAGTTTCATATTTATGCTAAAAAAGTAACATTAGATATACAAAGTGAGTGTGGTTTGGCTAGATAGCAGTTCATTTGAAAAAGACCTGGGGTTTTAGTGTATTAAAAGTTCAACAGAAGTCAAAAGTATGATGACAACCAAAGCTACTAACAAAATCTAACAGAGGAATAATGACCAGGACTAGTGAAGAAATAGGCCCATTGGTCCCTTTCTTGGTCAAATCATATCTGGAATTGGTTAGGTCCTGGGCACTACGTCATCATCATCATCAATATCATAACAATAATAATAATAATAATAAAGTTATTAATAGGGTAGAAATAATCCAAAGCAGGGAAATAAGATAGTAAGAAGTATAAGGATCATACCACATGATGACTGGTTGAAGGAATTGAAGATATTTAACCTAGAGAGGAGAAGACCAAGCTTCCTAGTTGAAAAAAAAAAGAGTAGATTTATTCTGCTTTGCCAAAAGCAGAATAAGAACAATGGATGGAAGCTGAAAAGTGTCAAATTTAAGACTGATTTAAGGATAATTTCCTAATAATGACAACTAACACAAAAAAGAATGAAGACTCTGAGTGATCATTTGTTCAGAATATTGTTATCAGGATTCATATTCATGTTTGGGGTAAATTAGATGACCTGTGAGGTCCCTTTCAACTCTGCTATTATTATTATTTTTATTCTGGACCTTCTAGCTCTACATTTTAACATTCTAAGTACTAAGGAGAGAAAAGGAATGACCCATCCTTTTGCAAGAACTCTGGTCAAGAATGCAGCTCCCTCTCCTCAAATATTGATAATAAAACAATAATAATAGATAAGGTAACAAAGTATTAACTGGGCTCTAGACTTTGATCGAGAGGAAATGTTTCAAAACTCTGAGTCATGTTCCATGATTAAGTATTTCGGTTTGGAAGTAGTGGCTTAGGAAATAGTCAGTAACATACTTCTGTTTGGGAAATTAAGGGGTTTTTTTAAGCATCCAAATTTTATTTATTTATTTATTTTTTATTAATTTATTTTGATTTATCAACAATCAATTCTATAAGCTTTTGAGTTTTAAATTTTTCTCCCCTTCCCTCCCCAAGATGGCATGCAATTTGATATAGACTGCATGTGTACATTCCTATTAAATATATTTTCACCTTAATTATGTTGTAAGGAAGAATTAGAAACAATAAAAGGAACCACCAGAAAGAGGAAACAAAACAAAACAGAAGAAAAAAACAGCAAATGTATGCTTTGATCTGCATTCAAACTCCATAGATCTTTCTTTGCATGTGGATAGCATTTTCCATTATGAGACCTTTGGAGATGTCCTAGATGCTTGCATTGCTGAGAAGGGCTAAATCTATCAACATTAGCTATCCCACAACATGGCTGTTACTGTGTACAATGTTCTCTTGGTTCTGCTCACTTCACTCAGCATCAGATCATACAAGTCTTTCCAGGTTTTTCTGAAGTCAGCCTGTTCATCATTTCTTATAGCACAATAGTATTCCATTACATTCATATATTACAACTTGTTCAGCCATTCCCCAAATGATGGGCATCTCCTCTGTTTCCAAATTTTTGCCACCCCAAAAAGAGCTGCTATAAATATTTTCGTACATGTGGGTCCTTTTCCCCATTTGTATGATCTCTCTGGGATACAGCCCTATAAGTGCTGCTATAGCTGGGTCAAAAGATATGCACATTTTCATAGCCTTTTGGGCATAGTTCCAAATTGCTTTCCAAAATGGTTGGATTATTTCACAACTCCACCAACAATGCATTAGTGTTCAAATTTTCCCACGTCTTCTTCAATTTTTATCATTTTCCTCTTTTGTCATGTTAGTCAATCTGATAGGTGTGATGTGGTACCTCAAAGTTTTTTTGATTTGCATTTCTCTAATCAATAGTGATGTAGAGTTTTTTTTTCATTTGACTATAGATGGCTTTAATTTCTTCATCAGAGAACTGCCTGTTCATATTCTTTTAGCATTTGTCAATTGAGAAATGACTTGTATTCTTATAAATTTGACTTACTTCTTTTAGAAATGAGGTCCTTATCAGAGACACTGGTTGTAAAAATTCTTTCCCAGTGGAAATTAAGTTTTTAATACTTTATTGCCCTAGACAATCTTCAAGTGCCAGCTTTTCACATTCAAAGAATTAAATACTTTAGTTAAGATGAGGAAAATGAGGCAAGGGTTAAATGATCTGCCAAATGTAACAGAACTAGCAAGTGAGGGAGACTGGATTTTACCTGCAGCTTTCCTGACACTTGGTCCAACACATTATTCCTTTACTTCCTGTGGTTTATTGTAAGTGCAAAATAGTTGTGAATTATTCACATTTAATATTTGTATTTGAAGGTCTTTCTTATGGGTGCTTACAAAATTTGTTGTGTCTTTTGAGTTTGAAGTACAGTTTGTTCCTTTGTTTTTCCTTGAAGTCAAACTTTGGATTCTTTTAATTGGCCCTTTGTCTTCTGTGTTCTGTTCTATTATTTTCTTGAATTATCTTTCTGCCTCATTGTTTTCATTTTTTTCCCTTGAAATGTTATTTTTGAAAGATCTCAAACTCTCAAGTAGTTTCTACTTACTCTGTTTCCAAAATCCCTATGTTCTACTTATATGGAGATCATGTTTTCTTACAACATTATTTCATTTTGTTTCTCTTCTTCCAGATTGTCTTTTGCTTTTGTATAATTACATTATCAATAAGTTGTTTTCTTTTTTGTTTATTTGTTAAGGTTTGCTTTTTTAAAAGATATTTATTACTTCTAACATTCTTTTCTTTTTAAATTTTGAATCCCAAATTTTCCCCTCCCCATTCCTCTCCCAAACATTAAGAAGACAAGCAAAATGGTATCAATTATACGTGTGAAATCATATAAACCATTTTAAAATATTAACTATATAACAAAAAAGGCAAAAAAAAAATAAAGAAAAGTGTACTTCAATTTGCTCCCATAGTTCATCAGTTCTCTCTCTGGTGGTAAACAGTATTTTTTTTTTTTTTTGGCTCTTTAGAAGTGCTGTGGGGACGAGGCAGATGCTGGGCGTGTTTCACTCCTTTGAGAGAGTGGGAAAGTGAGCTGGGAGCCGCGCGCTATCCCGGGGCCCCCGCGTCTCGCCTCGCCGCCAGCGAATAGGTGAGGGAGAAGTCGCCGCCGCCGCCAGCCCTGTCCCTCTCCCAACCCTCGCCGGCTGCGCCCTGGCCGCGGGGCGGGAGGTGTGCGGGGGCTCTCCCCGCCTCCCTCCTCCAATGCCCTCATTACTTACCTGCTCTACTCCGCTCCGGGAGGCCGGAGAAGCTCCTGGCAGCCCCCTGGAGCCAGGCCGCTGCCGCCGCCGCCGCCCGCAGCAGCAGCAGCAGATCCCCACGCCGAGTTCTGGGGGCGAGGAGGGGACGGGGGAAGGCGCACCGCTTCTCGGCCATTACTTAGAGGAGTGAGGCCACCCCTCTCGCCGGTCCGCCCTCCCGGGGCCGGGACTGCCACTCTCCAGCCAGAGGGACAGTGCAAGACCTCTGATCATTAGATCCCCTGCCTCTCCATTGAACAATCAAGGTATTCCTACTCCAGCACAGCTCTCAAAATCCAATGCACCCGTCCACATTGATGTGGCTGGTCACATGTATACCAGCAGCGTGGCCACACTCACCAAATACCCTGAATCAAGAATTGGAAGACTTTTTGATGGCACGGAGCCAATTGTTTTGGACAGTCTCAAACAGCATCATTTCATTGACAGAGATGGACAGATATTCAAATATATACTAAATTTTCTACGAACATGAAAACTACTCATTCCGGATGATTTTAAGGACTACACTTTGTTATATGAAGAGGCAAAGTGCTTTCAGCTTCAACCCATGTTAATGGAGATGGAAAGATGGAAACAGGATTGGGAAAATGGTCGCTTTTCTAGACCCTGTGAATGCTTAGTGGTACGAGCTGCCCCACATCTCAGAGAGAGGATTACACTCAGTGGTGATAAATCTTTGATAGAAGAGGTGTTGCTAGAAATTGGAGATGTGATGTGTAATTCGGTCAACTCAGGTTGGAATTACGGCTCAACCCACGCCATCAGATTTCCACTGAATGGATATTGTCACCTCAACTCAGTTCAGGTGCTTGAGAGGTTGCAGCAAAGAGGCTTTGAAATTGTGGGCTCCTGTGGAGGAGGGGTAGACTCTTCCCAATTCAGTGAATGCGTACTCAGAGGAGAACTCACCCGCACCCTACTTCATTTGAATAAGCAGGAGAGTCTGGATTGACCAGACATGTTTCTTATGGAAAAAAACAAAAACAAAAAAACAAAAGGGACATTCATGTGCAGTTGGGACACCAAACCAAGTCCTGGAATGAAAATCGAATAAAGACACATTTACATCAAATAAAGACCATACCTGTATTCATATGGGAACAATTGGAATAGTAATAATAACCTCAAGGTATAAATATATATATATATATATATATATATACATACATACATACATGTCAAAAGGTAGGAAATGCAAATAATAATAATAACAATAATAACAATAACGATGATGTGGTAGCTGACTGACGTTGCTGCTGTGATGGCCATTAAGTGTCCTGAGCCTTCCTGATGCTCGCTTATCAATAAACAAGCCATGAGCAGTGAGGACACAATCTCCTTATGTTTTCCATTGCCAAACAGCCATCCAACCATTCATTCTCTCACTCTCTCTCTCTCTCTCTCTCTCTCTCTCTCTCTCTCTCTCTCCTCACTTTTTCTTTTCTTTTTTAACACCTTGAATTGAGTTCCTTTGCAGATGGAGGCTAGGAGGCCTCTCTTAAGGAGGGGACAGTTCAGGACTTCAGAATCCCATTCACAATCACATTGCATCTAAAAGTTGTTAGACTGAAAGTTTAAAACATAGCTTGTAGGAAGTCTCACCTTTTCGTCTGCCTCGCCAATGTGAACATCACGTTGTTTTTAAACTGACAGTTTTGCAAAAGGGCCAGAATTGTTACTCGTTAGAGTTTGCTCTGGTTTGAATATGTGGCTTGCCTACAATTTTTCAAATTTTATAATGTATTAAGTACAATAAATGCTGTTTAAAATTAAAAAAAAGTGCCATGGATCATTTTATTGGTCAGAGTAGCCAAATCTTTTACAATTGATCATCACTGCAGCATTGTAATTAATCATACAGAAAAATGTACCACTTCTCACTTCACTTTGCGTGAGTTCATTCAGGTTTTGCAATGATTTTTTTTTCTGAAACCAATTCCTTCATCATTTCTTATAACGCAATAGTACTACATCATAATCATTTGCCATAATTTATTCAGCCATTCTCCAGTTGATGACCATCCCCTCAAAGAGAGCCTCCCTAAATATTTTTGTTCACATGGGTCCCTTTTCTTCAATTCCTTTAGGAAGTATACTTAGTAGTGGTATTATAATTTTATAGCCCTTTGGGCATAGTTACAAATTATTCTCCAGAATGATTAGACCAGTTCACAGCTACACCAACAGTTTATTGGTGTACCTATTTTCCCTCATCCCCTCCAATATCTCATTTCTGAAAGGTGTGAGGAGGTGCCTCAGAATTGTTTTAATGTTCATTTCTCTAATCAATGACTAGAACATTTTTTAAGAGGCCAATGGTAACTTTGATTTTTCTTCTGAAAACTGTTCATATTACTTGACTATTTCTCGAATGGGGAATTGCTTTTATTTTTTTTATAAATTTAACTAAATTCCCTAAGTATTTAAGAAATGAGGCCTTTATCAGAGAAATTTGCTGTAAAAACTGTTTGATTATTTCATTGTTTATGGCACTTTTGAGAAAAATGTAGTTTCCCTGATTATCTTTTTTTTTAAAATTAGATCAATTTTTGCTGTTGCTTTGTCTAAGACCATGATTGTTACTCTTGCTTTTATTTTATTTTTTTCACTTCAGCTGAAACTTACTAGGTTCTGCTCCAGCCCTTTGTCTTTCCCTCTGTGGGTCTTTCTTTTTCAAGAGTCTCTCTCTCTCTCTCTCTCTGTTTTAATATACATTTATTTATTTTTAGTTTTCAACATTCACTCCCACAAGTTTTTGAATTCCAAATTTTCACCCCATCCCCCCCCTCTCCCCACCCCCAGATGGCATGCATTCTGAATATCCCTTCCCCTAGTCTGTCCTCTCTTCTATCTCTCTCCCCTTCTCTTATCCCCTTCCCCTTCCATTTTCCTGTAGGGCAGGATAGACTTCTGTACCCCATTTACTGTATTTCTTATTCCCCAGTAGCATGTGAAAACATATTTTTTAAACGTATGTTTTTAAAACTTTAGGTTTCAAATTTTCTCTTCCTCCCTCCCCACCCACCCTCATTGAAAAGGCAAGCAACTCAATATAGGTTGTACATGTGCAGTTATGCAAAACACTTCCATAGTAGACATGTTGTGAAAAACTAACTCTATTTCCCTTAATCCTATCCTGCCCTCCCATTTATTCTATTCTTTCTTTTGACCCTGTCTCTCCTCAGAAGTATTTAATTCTGATTACCCCCTTTCTCAATCTGCCGACCTCTCTATCATCTCCCTGCTTTCTTGTCCCCTTCCCCCCTACTTTCCTGTAGGGTAAGACAGATTTCCATACCCAATTGAATGTGTATGTTATTCCCTCCTTAAGCCAAATCCTATGAGAATAAGATTTACTCATTCCCTCTCACCTTCCCCTGTTTCCCCTCCACTGTAAGAGACTTTTCTTTTCTGTTTTTTTTTGTGAGATAATTTACCCCATTCTACCTCTCCCTTTCTTCTTCTCTGAGTATCATCCTCTCTCATCCCTTAATTTTATTCTCCAGATATGACCCCTTAATCTTCAACTCACCCTGTGCCCTCTATCTATCTATCTACATATATGTACATATAATTTTTTTCCTCCAACTACCCTAATACTGACAAAGGTCTCATGAGTTATAAATATCATCTTTCCATGCAGGAATGTAAACAGTTCAATCTTAATAAGTCTCTTATGATTTCTCTTTCCTGTTTACCTCTTCATGTTCCACTTGAGTCCTGTATTTGAAAGTCAAATTTTCTATTCAGCTCTGGTCTTTTCATCAAGAATGCTTGAAAGTCCTCTATTTCACTGAATGACCATTTTTTCCCCTGAAGGATTATACTCAGTTTTGCTGGGTAGGTGATTCTTGGTTGTAATCCTATCTCCTTTGCCCTCTGGAATATTATATTCCATGCCCTGCGGTCCTTTAATGTAGAAGCTGCTAAATCTTGTGTTATCCTGATTGTGTTTCCACAGTACTTGAATTGTTTCCTTCTGGCAGCTTGTAATATTTTCTTCTTGACCTGGGAACTCTGGAATTTGGCTAATATTCCTAGGAGTTTTCCTTTGGGGATCTCTTTCAGGAGGAGATCTGTGGATTCTTTCAATTTCTATTTTGCCCTCTGGTTCTACTATATCAGGGCAGTTTTCCTTGATAATTTCTTGAAAGATGATGTCTAGGCTCTTTTTTTGATCATGGCTTTCAGATAGTCCAATAATTTTTAAATTCTCTCTCCTGGATCTATTTTCCAGGTCAGTTGTTTTTCCAATGAGATATTTCACATTGTTTTCTAATTTTTCATTCTTTTGGATTTGTTTTACAGTGTCTTGATTTCTCATAAAGTCACTAGCTTCCAATTGCTCTATTCTAATTTTTAAGGAAGTATTTTCTTCAGTAATCTTTTGGACTTCCTTTTCCATTTGGCCAATTTTTCTTTTTAGGGCATTTTCTCCTCATTGGCTTTTTGGACCTCTTTTGCCATTTGGGTTAGGCTATTTTTTAAGGTGTTATTTTCTTCAGTATTTTTTTGGGTCTCCTTTAGCAAGCTGTTGACTTGTTTTTTGATTTTCTTGCATCACTCTCAGTTTTTCCTTACTTCCCTTACTTGCTTCTCAAAATCCCTTTTGAGCTCTTCCAAGGCCTGGGACTGATTCATATTTTTCTTGGAGGCTTTGGATGTAGGAGCTTTTGACTTTTTTCTTCTTCTGGTTGTATATTTTGATCTTCTTTTTCACCAAAGTAAGATTCTATGGTCTGACTATTTTTGCGCTGCTTGCTCATGATCCCGGCCAATTACTTGAGTTTTAAACTCTTTGTTAAGGTAAGAGTCTGCTTCCAAGGTGGAGAATGTACTGTCCCAAGCTTAGGGGGCTTGTACAGCTGTTTTCAGAGATACTTTTAGGGACCTGTAAATTTTCAGTTCTTCAAGGTGGTATGATAAGGGGAGGTGTTACTCCTTTCCTGGCCTGTGACCACAGATATTCCTTTCTGTCCTGTAACTGTGAGGAAGGGTTCCTCTTCACAGCCACTCCAAGACCCACCACACCAGCATTCCTCCTCACCCCAGCATTGCTGCCTAGAACTGTGACCCAGATCCAAACAGAGGCAAAGCAAGTGATTACTGCCTCAGCACTGGCAAAGAGATCCCTTCAGTCCCTCTCTGATCAGCCACTAGGTTCCCCCTCAGTCTGTGGGCCAGAAGCTTGGGAAGCAGCTGCCCCCATGCTCTTGGGGAATGGAGCTGAAACCCACCTTTCTGTCTCAGCACCGACATAAACAGACTTTTCCCACAGACCTTCTAAATTGTCTTTGGCATTCATGGATTGAGGAGTGTGGAAACCTCCACAGCCGCCCCCAATTCAGTCCTCTGAGGCCTGCTCCAGGTTCCCTGTGGCCTGCGCGCCCACACAGCACTGCACCATGCTCCCAGTCCGGCACTATACACCTTTCTGATTAATCATCCAGGTTGTCTTGGGCTGGAAATTTATTTCACTCTGCGTTTTTGTGGGTTCTGCTGCTTCAGAATTTGTTTAGAGCCATTTTTTATGAGTATTTGGATGGGTTTGGAGGAGAGCTCAAGCAAGTCACTGTTTTCACTCCGCCATCGTGGCTCTGCCTCAAGTGTGTCTCTGTATATTTATATGTATATATAGTTTGTGCCTTAGTGTTTTCTACTTCTCCCAGCAGTTTTTGTCAAATACTGAGCTCTTGTCCCAAAACCTTGGGATTTGCCAATTTACTACTGTGCTTTGTGTACTTAATCCATTCCACTGATCCACCACTCTATTTCTTTGCCAGTACCAGACTGCATTGACAATTACTACTTTATAATACACTTTAAGATCTAGTACTGCTCGGCTACCTTGCCTCACGTTTTTTCATTACTTCTCTTGATATGCTTGACCTTCTGTCAATGCAGTTGCATTTTCTTATTATTTTTTTACTTCTATAAAATATTTTTGGTAGTTTGATTGGCATGGCAATGAGTAGTAAATTAATTTAGGTAGAATTGTCATCTTATGACAATTATGACTGAGCTAAACCATGAAAAATTGATATTTTTCCAATCAGTCAAATTTGACTTTGTGTGAAAAGTGCTTTGCAATTGTTTGTAACTATAATGTAGTACTGGAATTAAGTGTTCTTTATAAATGTTTGGTAGAGTTCATTTGTAGGTCCTTCTGGCCCTGGGTATAGTTTCTAAGGAAGTTCATCAGTGACTTTCCCCCTTTCTTTTGCTAGGATAAATTTATTTAAGTATTCTCTTTCCTCTTCTGGGTATTGGACAATTTATATTTTTCTAAGTATTTATCCGTTTCACTTATATTGTCAGATTCATTGACATATAATTGAGCAAAATAGCTCCTAATAAACACTTCAATTTTATTTTCACTGCTGAGGAATTCATCATTTTCATTTTTGATGTTGGTAATTATCATTTTCCAGCTCTTTTTTAAATCAAATTAACCAATGGTTTGTCTATCCCCCCCCCCATAAATCCAGCTCTAAGTTTTATTCATTATCTCAATGGTTTTCTTACTTTTAATTTTGTTAATCTCTAGTTTGATTTTAAGGATTTCCAATCTGGTGTTTAATTGGGTATTTAAAATTTTTTCTTTATTTAGTTTTTTTTGCTCTTGTTGCATGACCAATTCATTGATCTGCTTTTTCTCAATTTTACTGATAACATTTAGAGATATAAATTTTATCCTAAATACTGCTTTGGATGCATTCCATAAATTTTGGTATATTATCTCATTGTTATCATTTTCTTTAGTGGAATTATTGATTGTTTCTACCATTTGTTCTTTGAACCACTCAATTTTTAGTATTAGAACTTTTTTCATTTCCAATTAAGTTTAAGTTTATGCTTCCATGGGCTTTATTGAATGTAATTTTATTGTATTATTATCTGAAAAGCATTTAATATTTCTGCTTTTCTGCATTTGATTGTGATGTTTTTGTGTCCTAATACGTTGTCAATTTTTGTGTAGGTTGTCATGTGCCACTGACTAAAAGGTATATTCCTTGCTAACCCCATTCAGTTTTCTCCAAAGGTCTATCACATTTAATTTTTTCTAGTATTATACTTACCTAAACTTTTCTTTTGCTTATTTTTAGTTAGATATATCTAGTTCTGAGAGGAGAAAGTTGAGGTCCCCCACCAGAGTAATTTTACTATTTCCTCCTATAACTCATTTAAATTTGTTTTTTTAATTAGATGTTATATCATTTGTCACATATAGGTTTAGTATTTATATTATTTCATTGTCTATGATACCTTTTAGCAAGTTGTAGTTTTCTTCCTTATATCTTTCAATTAGATCTAATTTGGTTTTGCTTTGTCTGAGAGCATGATTGCTACCCTTCCTTTTTTTGTTGTTGTTTTACTTCAGCTGAAGTATAATAGATTTTGTTCCACTCCATTTCCTTTATTCTGTGTGTGTCTCTCTGCTTCTGGTGTGTTTCTTGTAAGCATTATATTCTAGGATTCTGTTTTTTAATTCACTCTGCTATCTGCTTCCATTTTATGGGTGAGTTCAACCCACTCACATTCACAGTTATGATTACTGATTTTGTATTTAACTCCATTATATTTTCCCCTGTTTATCCTTTTCTCTTTCTCTCTGTCTCCTTTCACTGTCTCCCTCCTGACATGTATTTTGCTTCTGACCACTACCTCTCCCAACCTGGCCTCCCTTCTATCAGTCCCCCCCCCACTCTTTTTTTTCCAAACTTCTCCCTTCCTACTTCCCTGTAGGGTAAGATAGCTTTCTATAATAAACTATGCCTGTATGCTATTCCCTTTTTGAGCCAATTCTTATAGGAGTAAGGTTCAAGCTATTCCCACCAACCTCCCATAAATCCCTCCATTGTAATATGTTTTTCATGCCTCTTCATGTGAGATAATTTACTCCACTCTAATTCTCCCTTCCATCTTCTCTCAGTGTAATCCTCTTTGTCAACCCTTAATTTTGTTTTTCTGTATATCAGCCTATCAAAGTCAACTGCCCACATCTTCTGTTTATGAATAATCCTCTCAATTGTCCTAAAAGTAATAAAGTTTTTTAGAGTTACAAGTGTCATCTTTCTGTGCATGGATGTAAACAGTTAAACCTTACTGAACCCCTCATACTTTCTTTTTCCTATTTACCTTTTTTTGTGTTTCTCCTGAGTCTTGTATTTGAAAATCAAACTTTCTGGACAGCTCTGGCCTTTTAATCAGGAATGCTTGAAAGTCCTTTATTTTATTAAATATTAATTTTTTTCCTCCCAAGTGGTTTTACTTAGTTTTGCAGAGTAGAAGATTCTTGGTTGTAATCCTCATTTGCATACCAGAATAGCATATTCCAAGCCCTCTAACTCTTTCACATAGAAGATGCTAAATTCTGTGTAATCCTGACTGTATTTCCAAGATATTTGAATTGTTTCTTTCTGGTTGCTTGAAGTATTTTCTCTTTGATCTGGGAGCTCTGGAATTTGAGGATAGTATTCCTGGGAGGAAAAAGAAAACTATTTACTAAGTGTTTTTAAAGGACTTTAGCATAACTATTTAAACCAGACCAAAAAACCCCCCAATATTTTCTCCACTAATCAGTTAGTTAATATGTGGTTGTTAAATTTTCACTTAACCTTTCAAAGTCGTGAGAAGTTTTTTTTGTAATCTTACATTGATTGTGGAAGGTAGACATATAGTACTTGTCAAAAAGGTATTCCTAAAAAAATTCCTTAAATCCTTTTTATTTCAGTGGGATCAAAACCCTCTTGCTTTCCTCTACTTGCTTACTTACTCTCTCCTTTTGACCCAATCATGTCCAAGATTATCTACAGACTTAATCTTCATTCTAGCAAATTTTTCTTTACATTATTATTTAATTCTTGGATCCAATCAAATCAAATATTGCTGAATAATCACTACTGTAAACAGTTTAAAATCTAAATTTTTGCAAAGACCATTAATTGCTAGGATTTCAAGTTTCAGGGCCCGCTGTTATCAATCAGCTAATGCTTTAACTTCTCAAAATTAACTCACATTGAAAAGTGATCATGAGACTATAACTGTTGGCATGTAATTTTCAGCATTATATTGGTTCTATTAAATGTAAATTGAATTACAGTACCTTTTGGCAGTACACTTACACAATTCCTTTGACATTTAAAGAGAATGATATAGCCTGGATACAGAATTTCCTAAGATCTGTATACTACTTTCACTAAGCCTTTGATTGTAAAATATTATCCTTTATTATCTATATTAAAAATTTGCCTCATTGTCAAATAGTCAACAATGACTCGAATTAGAAGTGTCCTTTGATTTGTATCATAATAATTTCTTGATTTGAAGTATCTGAATTTATTTAAATTTCATACATTCATTAGATTTAACAGGAATTGCACCAAAAAAGTCTGATGGAGACTGTAATTTTCTGAAGAGCTCAACGTATAACGTTTTCTCTATTTCATTGGAAATCACTCAAAGACTAACTCTATTTCTTCTATTTTTTACCCTAACATAATTTGTTATTCTTCATAGAAAATGTTATGTTTTACTTACTTTTCAGTTGCTTCCTGATTCTAAAAAAAGTTGTGTTTTTTTTTTCTGATTCGGGGTGCACTTTGGGATTCCCTTTCAATGTGAGAGTCACAATGTAGGGCTTGTAGTAGGGCTTCCTTGATGTCTTTAGGCTGGTTGTTTAAAATCAATAAGGAAAACAAGTGTAAATAAATTCCAACTTTACCTACTTTTATTCTTTTGAAGACTGAAGGTGATCTAAAATTTTTCCTCTTATACCTTCTAATAAAAAAAATCACATTTCCATCCTGCAATAAATTTTACATTCCTGTTAAGTGCATCTTTTAAGTTTAACTTTTAAAGAGTGTGTAATCTACACTAAAATCAAAACCAGTTTCTCAGGATGGCAACCAAAAACTTCAGATTCAGAGACTAACAAACTGAAACTGCTTTGGAAGTATTCTGCTGACCTTAAAGTGAAAGTTACTGTTCTTATAAAGTGAGACTCGAAGAGTTAGAAATTTAATCTCAATCTTTAATTGGAATTGCCCCCAAAATCTGTTTCATCATTGCTCCTTAGGCTGGCTATATGTTGAGGTAGAAGAAAGAGAAATTGATTCAAGTCAAGAGACCTGAATTCAAATCTTGCCCTGATATTTTTCTATGTGAGTTTGAGTAAATGACTGAATTATTACAATAGGTAATTTCTTCACCTGTAAAATGGATGTAATAATATTTTCCCTACCTATCTTACAGAGTGGTGTGCAAAGTGGTAAACCTTGCAGTGATGGAGACATATGCATTATTATTTCTATTATGATGTCATTATTTCTGTTTGTTTTCCAAAGTGACTCTGTCGTGTCAGTAAACTTCTTTTTCCTTCCCATCTCTCCACACAATATATATTTAGTCTGCAATCAACACTTAATGTTTCTTGATAAATCAGAGGATTTTTCTCTAAATAATTCAGAATTCTAATGTCTTTGCACTGATGAGAAAATACATGTGAGAAGAGGTTGGAGGAGTTCTGCAAGGATACCCTGTAATATAATGGGTGGGAGTATCTGTCAGAAGACCATATTAATAGAATTTTACTGAGCCAGCCTCTAACCTGGGAATACTCAGAGCTGCTCAAAGTAGGCCTAGAGACAGGAATGCCAGTAATCAAGTAGAAGTTTAATTAATCAGTTCCAGAGTGAGGAATGCTCTCTAAGCTGGAGTAAAAGCACAACTTATGTACATATATCACAAGTGGGGAAGGAGGAGGGAAAGGTGGATTGCAAACAATTATTTCCAGGGCCATAATATTGTGGTCCTGTGCGAATGGTATTGTTCCAAGCATTTGGAGATCATTAATTAATGGGGTGCAGGACCAGAGTTCTGTGACAGGAATAGGTTCTACAATTTTTTATTCCCTTCACTTACCATATACAGGAGTGTAGTGATTGTGAGAGCATTTTCAAGGATTTGATCGATCTTTTCAAGCTGCATTTTAAGACTGACTTCCAAGCCAGAGTCTCCTGAGAAATCTAAATTATTAGTATATTTATTACACATGTCATATATATTAATGCAAAAATCATAATTCCCTTCATACCCATTAGACCCCAGTGGCTTTCATCATAATACATTGTGTGACTAACTTTGTGTGCCCTGGAGAGAGGATGAAAGTTCAGCACGCTTTCAGGGTGAAAGTGCACCTTCATTAACCTTGGCCTTGTTTACTGATATGGGTATTCATTTTTATAATAGAATGTTTAATGATTAGAGTTCTTCAAAGAAAGAAGCTGAGTTAATTGTAGGGAGAGTCTCAAGACACTAAATCTAGTTCTTATCAGGAAAGAGATGAAATTTTTCTTTTGCTTTTGCGTGACTTGGCTTTCTCTGAGACAGTCCAAGTGTGAGTCACTCAATGAGTCTACACCTGCGCAGCTGAAAAGCAAACTTAGCCCTTAAACACAGCTCAAATCTCCGCACTGGGCATGTGGCAAAGAACTCCCAGAAAGATGTGGCTGATTTCCCTGGTTATCTGCTCCTTCATTGCATTCACAACTCAGGGTAAGATTTTGGGGTTATTTTTTCCTCTTTCAGAAACAAAACAAAGCAAAACAAAACAAATAAACAAAAACTATAAAAGCTACTGAGAGTTTTTAGTAGTATCTCACCTAAAAAGTCAGCAGGGCCTGGTCAACCTTTCTGGAAAAAACAAATTTTATTATGAATTAAATTATCAAGAAATAGTCCATCTAGCATAAGAAGCCAAGTGGGCAAATTGGGGCAAATTTGCATTACAGATACAGACATAAAACCAAAAACTATTCTTTAATAGTAGTCAAAGGAGAAGAATAAATATTTCTCAAAAGAATAATTGAAAATTATTAACAATAATATGAAGGAAGACTCCAAATGAAAGAAATTAAAAACAAAACAACTCTGAAGTATTACTTCATACTCTACAAATTGACAAAGACTATAAAATATTGGAATAGTCAGTGTTGGAGGAGTTGTGAGAAGATAAATACATTATTGTATTTTTGGTGGAGCTGTGAATCAGTATAACCATTTTGGAAAGCAAATTCAGGGGTTTTAAATAAAGTGTCTAACATATCTATAACCCTTGAACCAGCAATTTCACTACTAGACTGCTGGCTTTCCAGAGATGAAAGGGATAGCACTATTCATATATTTTCAGGCTTTTTTAATGTGTTGACTGCTTTTGTTGATTGATTTTTTTCATTTTTTATTTAAAATATTTATTAAATGAGATGACTGGGAGGAAATAGAGGAAGGATCTGGGAGAAATTCTGATGATGTTAAACCAAAGGAGGTCAATAAAAATTCATTTTAAAAAAGGGAGACATTTAGAGCTGTGTGACTTTGAGTAAGCCACTTCTATGTTCCTTACTTTCCTCATCTATAAAATTAGGATAATATTACTATTTATCTTGTTCATTTGTGAACAAAATTTTTGTAAACAAGAAAGTCCTATGGAAATGTGATTTTCTATTATTATAGTATCTATGGAGCAATTTCATTTCCATTCTCTCATTTGATATTTAAAACAGCCCTACAGGGAGCTATTATTACTTCCCACTTATAGGTGAGGAGTAGAAGGCCCAGAGAACTTTCTTCATTTTTCCAAGACCACTTAGTTAGTATGGAACAGAGCTAGGTATATATACATACCCAAGAATCTTGATTCCTAGTTCAATGCTGATTCTGTTCTGCCATGTTGGCTCCTCAAGTGGAATCATCTTTTCCTCTCTCAATGTTGCACAGGGCCACAGTTCTCAGCGCCTATAGTGGACACTAAATATGGGAAAGTTGAAGGCAAACAAGTGATACTACAAGAATTTGACAAATCTGTCAATGTTTTCCTGGGAGTCCCCTTTGCCAAAGCCCCTCTTGGACCCTTAAGGTTTGCTCCACCCCAGCCACCTGAGCCCTGGGACTATTTGAAGAGCACCACTACATACCCACCCATGTAAGTCATCAGTCTTTCGAGTTTTCTGAGGAGGGGAGGGCTTCAAGTAGAGAAAATCACTGTCTCTTAATTGAGAATTATCTCCTAATTCTTTTGTTGGTTTTTTACCATTCCAGAATTTTCCAATCATTTGATAGTTCTATGTTTTGCCCATCAGCTCCTGCCCCCTGGAAATATTCCTATTTCTTCTCCTTCCTAACCCAATCTGTTAGATTGGAGGGGAACATCTCAGGTTTGCACAATGAAATGGTCCTGAGTTATAAAGTGATCCACCTCCCTGCAGGGGAACCTGCCACTTCCCCTTAATAAAATGATTTGTTCTGTGAAGTTTGGATTCAGTCAAAGGGCAGAGTTTGAGGATTTAGATGGCATAAATGGTCTCAAGGTCACAGGTTCTACACACCTTCCTTAGCTACAATGAACAAAAAAAGGATCTGCTGCAGTCCCCATCATTAATAGATGAGACTGCTTTATTTGCTTGATTACAATCAAACAAATCTCTGGGAACACATTGCCTAGCAAGATGTCAACTGCTCTTTGTCTCCATTCTTCAGTCATACCAGAACCACAAAGCAGCCTCTCTACCGACATCCATGGGTTCAGTGACTTTAAAATAATTTGTGAGAAAGCCTTGGAATAAAAATAATGATTTCAGCCAAGACTCTTTTTTCATAACTCTGACTGGGCTATTCACTTGACTTTTCTGCTTTTCTCATATGTTCAGTCAGGACTTGGCTGACTATTCTACTTAACCCTGCAAGCAGAAGGTCCAGAGTGTGAGAGCCAGGAAGACTCCTAGTGCAGCTAGGAGCAGCTCTAGTGTCACAGTTTTGCATTTGGTTGTTTTTGAAGGAATGCCAATGTTTCACAAATCAGAATAATTTATATGGACCATCTGCCTTATAACTCTCACCCTTTTTCATTCTATTTTTCCTAAGAAAAACATGTAGTTTATTCATATAATGTCACTTTGGGCAAGTTATTTTGCCTTCCTGGGCCTCAGTTTCCTCATATGTAAAATGAATGTGTTTGATTAGGTGATCTCTAAGAACCCTACCAGCTCCAAAACCTCTGAACAGTGATCCTGTGACCTCAAATGTGATTTCCTGAGATGCTGTTAAAAAAGTGACTTCCCATGTTTCATTGCACAGGTGTGCCCAGAATCCACTTGAAAGGGAATTTCCGTCGAAACTTTCTGGCAATCCAAGTAGAAGTTCCTTGAAAATTTCTGAAGATTGTTTGTACCTAAACATTTACACCTCAGCTGACCTGGCAACAAAAGCTAAGTTACCTGTAAGAAGTTTGTGGTTTGGTTGTTTTTAACTTTAGCAAGTTGGGGTCATGGTTCCTTCTTGCATCTATAGCAAATGAGGAAAAACAGAAATAACTTTACCTCCCTTAATAATTTCTCACTCTTATCAGTCCTTCCCTTCTCTTAGTCCCTTCCCCTCCTACTTCCCTGTTGGGTAATATATGCGACTATAGTTTTGTCTGTCTATCTATCTATCTATCTATCTATCTATCTATCTATCTATCTATCTATCTATCGATCTATCTATCCATCTCTATGCATCTATCTTCAAGTATTACATGCTCCTCCCCACTGTAAAACCTCTTCCTTATATGCATCTTTTCCTTTTCCTTCCCCCTTCTCCCATTCCTCTTTTTTACTCCTCCATTTTTTTTTGTGATTATTACAGAATAACTTAATCACACCTCTGACCTCTGTGTATGGGAACTCCTAGTAAGGGTCCTAATAATGATATAGTTCTTAGGAGTTAGATGTATCATCTTCCTTTTTAGGAATGTAAACCATTTGATCTTATTAATTCCTTTATGATTTCTCTTTCATGTTTTCCTTTATAGGTTCCTCTTGATTTTTGTGCTTGAATGTCAAAATTTTTTTTAGTTCTGATGTTTTTATCAGGAACCCTTGAAAGTCCACTAATTAACTAAATATTCATTTTTCCCCTTAAGGGTTGGACTCCATTTTGCTACATGGGTTATTCTCAGCTGTATTACTAGCTTGTTTGCCTTCTGGAATATTGCATTCTGGGCACTGTGCTTCTTTACTGTGGTAGTTGCAAATCTTGTATGATACTGACTGTGGTTCCATGGTATTTTAATGGTTTCTTTCTCTATGCTTTTGTTATTTTCTCCTTGATCTGGGAGCTCTAGAATTTGGTTAAAAAATCCTGGGAGTTTTCATTTTGGGATCTCTTTCAGAAAGTGATCAATGCATTCTTCCATCGTTATTTTGTCCTCTGTTTCTATGATATTGGGGCAATTTTTCATTATAATTTTTTGAAATATAACATCTAAATTCTCTCTCTCTCTCTTTCAAATCATTGCTTTCAGGTATTCCAATAATTTTTATCTCTCCTCAATCTACTTTTCAGGTCAGTTGTTTTTTCAATGGAATATTTCACAGTATCTTTATTTTTTCATCCTTCTAATTTGGTTTTACTGTTTCTTATGCCTCTTGGAGTTACCAGATTGCACTTACACAATTCCCATTTTTCAGGAATTATTTTCTTCATTGATATTTTGTACATCTTTTTTTCTGTTTGGATAATTTTGGTTTTTAAGAAGTTATTTTCCTCAAAGAAGTTTTGTACATCTTTTACAAAGCAATTAAATATTTTTTTCAGAACTTTCTTGCGTTGCTCCCTTTCCCAGATTTTCCTCCACCATTTTTTTTGATTTTTAAAAATCATTTGCTTTGCTCCTTTTTATTGCTTTTCTTAGTTCATTCAGGAATTCCTGTTGGGCGTTTGTTCAATCTTTATTTTCCTTTGATGCTTTGCTTGTAGATGTTTTCATGTTGTTGCCTTTTCTGAATTTGTGTTGTGAACTTCACTGCTACCATAGTGGCTTTTTATGGGTAAATTCCTTTTTTGATTTTTACTCACTTTCCTAGCCTATTTCTTGAATTCTTTGGATTTGACATTAGAATTGGGCTTTGCTCACCTGGATGGGTGGGTAGGAAAGTACTGTTCCAAACTTCTGGCTTTTTTTACTCTGCTGTTTTCACAGCTAGTTCTGGGGAGGAATCTATAAGAATTTTGGTTTCTCTAACTTGATGAGATCTAGGAAATCTGGGAAGAGATGTAGTCACTGATTTACTAGTCTGTGCTTGAGTCCTTACTTAGATAGGGGCCCAACTCCCTTGCAACCAGGAACACTCCTTTGAGCCCTGGAATTCTGACTCTGAACTGTGTGATGAGCAATAAAATCGCCAAACAATGTCCAGTTCCATGTCAAGTGACAACATAGGGGACCCCTGTATTTTCTTTCTCACCAGTTGCCTAATTCCATTATTATCTCAGGGTAGTGAGAGCTTCTCAAACTGCTACTATAATTATTGCTACAGCCCCAAGGCTCACAGCTAGTGCTGTTCCTGCATTGTATTCTAGGCAAGCACCACCTGTATCACAGAATTCACCTTATCTTCTATGTTATCCAGGGCTAGAAAAATGCCTCAGCCTAACCTTTTGTTGACTAAGCCACTCCAATTCAAATTGACAGGTTATTTTAAATGTGTTTGGAGGGGAATGTTGGAAGAGTTTGGCTAGACTGCTCTGTCAACACTATTATCTTGAATGTTTCAAGTAACTCCTAAGAAATTTATCATCATTAGGGCAGGTAGAAGGAGTCTACATGAACAGAGGGCATAGATATAAGTCTAGTATGTGGCTGGGTCTGGGACCTATAGGTTTTTGGTGCTTCTAAGGTGGTATGACCTGGGGAGAGCAGTAGTCACTGTCTTCATGGTGTATACTCTTGTATTTACCTAGGGAGGCCCTCAATTCCTTGTGACCACACTCTAATCACTCCTCTCCACCCTATAACTGCAACCTGGACCTGGGTAATGGGAGAAGGAGCTGCCAAATGGTGCCTGTCCCTGTTCCCATCACTAGCAGAGGAGTCTTGTACAATATCTTTCTGACCAGGTGTATAGTCCCTTCACTCCCCTTAGTGTTGCACCATTGCTGCCACTATCTCCAGGCCTCACAGATCAAATTCCTGGCCAATGCCCCCACTGGTGTCTGTAGGCAGCCCTCTTTTTCAGTCCTCCTATGCTTTCCTGGGCTAGAAAAATGAGATACTGTGGCTTTCTTTATTATTCCACTCAGAATATGATTTGAGATATTTTAAAAAGTTGATTAAAGGATAGGTTTAAGACATCTCAACAGTAATACTCAATTACGTCTTCCTCCTTGGCTCAGCTCTTGAGCCCCCCTTTTCTAACTTGAATACTCTTCATTCAATCAATCCTTACAGGACAGTTTTAGGGCATCTTGGTTACTTCCCTCTAGTGCAGAAGGGATGCTTTCCCTTTCTCCTACACAAGGGTTCTGAGGATAAATTGTTGGAAAGTCTGTGACCTTTAATGAGGGAAAATGCATCTTTTCAATATTTTTGATTGTGTGGATATACTTTTATGTGTTTTATTTTATTCTTTTAAAAACATTGCTCTGAGAAGGATTACATGGGCTTCACCAAATTGCCAATGCATCCATGATACACAAAAATGGTTTAGAAATCCCCATTAATGTGTAAGTACAATTTTTCAGGGATGCGAAGACCTCAGAAGTTATCTTAATATGACTCATACTTGCACATTGACATACCAGACAAGTAATAATTCACCATTTGCTTTAAGACCTCCAGTGGTAGTGTGTGTATATGTGCACATGTACATGTGTGTGGGGGGGAGGGACAACTACCTATTCTCTTAGATTGTCTTAGAAAGGTTTTTTTTCATGTGGAAATAAAATCTGCTTTCCTGCAAATTACTGCTCCTATTTTAGCCCAATGCATTAACAGAATGAGTCCAACATTTACTTTGCCTGATGGCACTTCATATACTTTAGGATAAGCTATCATGTTCCCCCAGTCTTTCTTTTTCCTGGCTTAACATACGTCCTGTTCAACTGACTCAAATCTGAGATGTTTAGAACACTTCTTTTTTCTTCTCAACAATAACTGATTTTCCAAATCAGGCAGATGGTTAGAGTATTGAGATCTGCATTATCTGTCTGGTTTGCTACTTATATGGCAATGTCAATGGAGTGCAGTGGTCATAGAGCAGTTTAACCCAAAGGAATAGAGGCTCAGGAAGAATATGATAACTCTCTTAAGCTGCCTGATCCATCTTGACTTCTCCCCTCCCTATGTGTGGGACTGTATTGGAGGACTGTATCAAAGTCGTAAAATCAGAACTAGAAAAGACCTTAAAGATTATCTAGTCCAAACCCTTCCTTTTAGACAGTTGGACAACTTAAGACTTAGAAAATAGGAGTTTCCTGAATTCATACAACAAGTTAGTGGTAGAACCCAGATTAGAATTCAGTTCTTCTGGTCTCTAGTCTAGTTCCCATTCTATTATACCCTATCATCTCCAAAGAGATCTGTAGAATAGACACTACTTAGTCTGAGTGGTCTTTGCATGTATTTTCTAAGGTTCCTTTTAATTCAGGGATGCTGTGACCAATAAGATTCTTGTCTTATCCCCTAGGTGATGGTGTGGATCCATGGAGGAGCTTTTTTGGTGGGTGGTGCTTCAGCTTTGGAGGGCACGTACCTCTCAGCTCTTGAGAATGTTGTTGTAGTGGCCATTCAGTACCGTCTGGGAATCTTTGGATTCTACAGGTAAGACCTGGAGGATGAGAACTTAGTTGACACAAAGTAGCTTGTGGTGCTTCCAACTCTGACATTTTGTGATTTTGTGGTACTTATCTTAAGAGGTTCTTAAAGCATTTAATTAATTATCTGACCCTAGAAGACAGTGTTTGTCTTCCTTTTTGTTTCCTTAGGCATATATGTGTGTTTATTGTAGTTTTTTCCATAATGTATTCTCTTTGGGTTCAAGGATGTAGGCAAGTATAGTGCTTGATGCATTGTGAGCATATAACAAACATAGCCAATATTATTGCAAACTTACAGTTGGCTATCTGTACCCAGGGGTTATAAATTCTTCTCAGTCTAGTTCAGTAGGCATAAATTGAATAAGTGCTACATATTGTCTCATTCAGTGAATATTTACTGAGTATCTTGTATGTTCAAATTATTCAATTTAGCATTTATTAAGTGTATAATATGTGCTCAATTCAGGATTTAGGAGTAGAATAAAAAGGAAATGTTTTATATACGTCTTGCTTCAAAGAACTTACAGCCCAGTGGGGGAAGGCCAAATACACAAATCAAGGCTACAAAGAAAAGAGGGATTAGTGCCAAGGGAAGGTGCAGATATTGGTACTATGAGAAAATGGAGGAGGGAGAGATCACTCTCATCTGAGAGGGAAGAGGGATGAGGGAATGATTTATGGAGGAGGTAGCATACGGGCCTTGAAGAAAATAAGGATTTTAATAGAGTGAATGGGGTGAATTGTCCAATCCAGATAAGGAAATGTGTCCTCAAAGTCTCAGAGATAGAAGAAGTCAGGATGAGAAAATACTACAACTAAGTCTGATTGCAATAAAAAGTATATGAAAGGAATTAGTTTGAGAAAAGACTAACCACAAGTAAGCTGAGTCAGATTGTAAAGAGCCTCCAGTGCCAGGGTTAGGAACTTTTTCCCTGAAAAAGGGAGATACTGAAGAGCTTTTCCCCCCTTTTTTTAGTAGTGGAATGACATGACCCTAAGGGTAAATTGGGAAGCTTACTCAGGCAGAAATAAGGAAGATGAACTAGAAAAGTGATAGTCAAGAGGCAGGTAAACGACATAGGAATATAATAATTTTTAAATATTTGACACAGCAGTAGCACTTCTAGGGCTATATCCCAAAGAGATCATACAAATGGGAAAAAGACCCACATGCAGAAAATATTCATAGCAGCTCTTTTTGTGGTGGCAAAGAATTGGAAATAAGAGAATGCTCATCAATTGCGGAATGGCTGAGCAAGTTGTGGTATATAAATGTAATGGAATACTGTTGTGCTATAAGAAATGATGAACAGGCTGACCAGAAAGACATGGAAAGACTTGCATGGTCTGATGCTGAGTGAAATGAGCAGGACCAAGAGAACGTTGTATACAATAACAGCCATGTTGTGCAATGACTAATATTGATAAACTTAACCCTTCCCAGCAATACAAGGATCTAAGACAACTCCAAAAGCCTCATGATGGAAAATGCTATCCACATACAAAGAAATAACTATGGAATTTGAATGCAGATCAAAGCATACTATTTGTTATTTTTTTTCTTTTCTGTTGAGTTTTGTTTCCTCTTTCTGGTGGTTCCTCTTATTGGTTCTAATTTTTACTTACAACATCACTAATCTGAAAATATTTTTAATAAGAATGTGTATACACACACACACACACATATATATATATATACATATTTACACACACACATGGGATATTATATATATGTATATATATATATATATATATATATATATATATATATGTATATATATATATATATATATATATATATATATGCATATATATATATATATATATATATATATATATCCCATATCAATTGTGCTCTATCTTGGGGAGGGTGGTGGGGAGGAAAGGGGAGAAAAATTTTAAACTCAAAAGCATATGGAAGTGATTGTTAATGAATCAAAATAAATTAATAAAAACAAAGGAATATCATGCCTTAGAAATCACAGCATACTATGTTCTGTAAGAGAGACATGCAGAATAATATTAGGGACTGTTTTTTAAGATTATGATTATGGATAGGATGCCTTCAGAACTATAGCTCTTTAGGCAAGAAAGAGTACTTGGTGCTAGAGATGCAGAGCTTAATTTAACTTTTCAGTTATCAAAAGCTAAGTATTTTCCACTTTTAAAGCATTTCAACAAAAGCCCATGTCCACCATAAAAATCCAGCTAAATTTGGTGACTTAGTCACCTGATCCTGAAACTATTTTGGGGCAGCTAATTGTTAAGAAATAACCTGGTGGATACCAGCTGTCTTTCTTATAGGACATCTCCTGGCTTCCTCTGACTGTGTCCTCCCCCTCTCTCAAGTCCTTGGCTTCAAAAATCAATCCAAGAAGGGCAAAGGCTAGAATTTGTCCTATGGGTCATTGAATCTGTGATCCCAAGGGAGATTACAGATTTCAGAAACATGTGGTGGGAGGAAGATAAGATAAGATGAAGGTAAGTGCTCCATTCCAAGGCCAGTTATTCTGAGCTTCTTTAAGGCTGACAGACCATTAGGCTTTGCTTCAGTTTTTGCATCAATACCACTCAGGAGATGGCTTATTTCTAAGAGGAGCAGGATCCTAGCACATGCATTCATTTGTAAAAGATGTCACAGCACCCATTCTGTGGCTAATACTGTGTTCATGAACTTTACCTGTGACTAAATACATTTCACTCCTCACAAAAAGAAAATAAATAATAATAATAATTTGTAAGTAAATTGAATGCTGGTAAAAGAAAATCTCTGGCAGTTTCTACAAGAGTAGAAAGACTTCAAGTGCAGGTCTAACATTAAATAAGTCTATCATTTATGGACAAGTCTAGCTGTTTGTCTAGCTTGTCACCAGGCAAGATTATTGGAAATCAAGCCTTTTTTTTTTTAAAATATAGAACATTGGTATATCACCCATTTTGTACTCCAGATTCAGTGTAGCAACAGATAGAAAAATGTGCTGGATTTGGGGTTAGAGGACATGGGATAATAACCTAGTTCTCCACTCACTTCCTTTTTTTTTTGTGAGGCAATTGGGTTAAGTGATTTGCCCAAGGTCACACAACTAGTGAGTGTAAAGTGTCTGGTCTGAGACTGGATTTTATCTGAGGTCTGCTGACTCCAGAGCCGATGCTGTATCCACTGCACCACTTAGCTACTCCTCTCCAATTACTTTCTCAGTAACCTTGAACAACTAAATTCATCTTTTTGGCTTTAGTTCCTTCAGCTTAAAAGAAAGGGGGTTGGACTGCATGATCTCTGAAGCTGTCTCTAGCTGTAAATGAATGATCTTATTGTTCTATTCTGTGAGTCTGTATCTGCTTAAGGCCATAGCTCATGAACCCCAACTGAAATGTTTTTATTTACTAGTTAGCCAGATTATAGAATTCATTGAAAGCAAAAGCATTAACAAACTATAGTAATAAAGTAATGTAGTAATAGCAATACAGTAGTAGAGTATAGTAATAGAGTAGTACAGTACAATAATAGAGTAATATAGAACATAATAATAAAATTAGTAATGAGACATCACCATTTCCCATAATTCTGTACACCTTTTCTCACAATACACATATAATAAAGAGGAAGAACTGATGTTCTTCACACATAACCTTCATTTTCCATTGCTGTGTCTTTGTATAGGCCAGAGATTCCCAAATTCATTTTGCCAACCACATCCTTTAAAAAAACTATTGAGTGGCCCCCTGGAAATCTACTTTCCTTCTCACTTTAACTTTTCTTTGAAATCTGCTTCATTTCATATATACATATATAAATATATATGTGTGTATATGTATTTAAAATTGCTCTTAAATTTAATAATTTATTGTAATTTTTTTTTATTTCCTGCATTGAATTTTATTTTTTTGGCAAGGCAATTGGGGTTAAGTAACTTGCCCAGGGTCACACAGCTACTAAGTATCAAGTGTCTGGTCTGAGACCAGATTTGAACTTAGGTCCTTCTGACTTCAGGCTGGTGCTCTATCCACTGCACCAACTAGCTGTGGGGGCATTGAAATTTTGCTGATGTGATATTGTGTCATGTAACCATATAGTATCTCATTGTAAACAAAGTCATTACATGCATATATTCTTGCCAGTGCATTCTGAACTTCCCAACAATGTATGATAGGCTTGCCTGCCAACACTTGCTTGTTAAGACCTGTTGGTGGGGTTGACTGCTGTTAGGTTATAACTTGCATTTTGTGTATTTATTTGGAAAATAATGTAATCACTATAACTCTGTAACACAACAGATAAAATATGTATGAATGGTTTTCAAAATTTTCTTCTTTCCTTATACTTCTACCGTTCCTTTATTTTTATTCAATGCCTCCTAATTGCACCTGAGACTATTATTGCCTCGCCCCCTCCCCAGATCTTTCCAGCAACACCCAGAGGTCAGTTACACCCACTTTGAGAATCTCTGTTCCTTTTACCTAGAATGCACTATCTCCTCATTAACATCTTTTAGAACCTCTAGTTTCCTTCAAAACTCATTTCAAGCACCAGCTCTGATATGAAACCTTTTCTAATTCCTCATATGCTATTGCCTCCTCACTCCTCTAAAATCATATTTATTTACTTTGTACATGTTTTATATTTAATTATTGATTACATACTGTTTCCCTTAACAAAATGTAATTCCTTTGAGGATGGGGATTATTTGGATCTAGTCCTTGAATTTTCAGTGATTAATGTATAGGAAGCATTTTAAAATGTTTGTTGATTGACTGAATATCAAATCACTACCAAATGTTGCATTATCTTTCTGGATGCTATCTCACTCTTTTTGCTGGGCATAAAATCTTCTCTGCCAGACATTTCCACTCTTTTTGTGGTTGTTCAGCTCTACTCTGATACCATATCACTGGCTTTACCTTTCCAGTGTCATCTGATAGACTCTCTGGTCTTATCTACTATCATGCAATGCCTAGCAAGCCTCTCTCTTACAAGTATAGGCTCAACCTTATTAATTGCAGAGTCTATAAGCCAACACGCCTAGCCAGGTAACCAAAAAAATTGAGCTGAAAGTGCTCAGATTGATTTGCTTTTTCTTCATCATGGAGTCAAATGCCCTTTTTTCCTGCGGAAGATTTATAACCTATGATCCTACACAATATGGGGGTAAGTTAGAAACTTCCTTTTAACTTCCCTTATGTCTGAGATTGGGCATATTTCAAGGACTCTACCCAAAATAATGCCACAGAAAGTATGTAGAGGTTAGGTAGATAAAACCCTAATCACTCCCAAGATCCTGATTAATTGCAAAGGAGACATACAAATGAAGTTAGATGAAAATATAAGGCTAAGTGAAGCAGTTGAGCCACACTCCTTCCTTTACTATGTGCATCTTTCAGCGGGATGTGAGTAGGGGTGGGAATTGATCCTCTTTGTTAACCACTGTCCAGCACAAAAATGCGATATCTCTAAGTTTAACCTTAATAAGACTTTTTTTTTTTTGGCCAAATACCAAATGAGGGTTACAGGTGCTAAAGATTCTTAGCTACTGCAGTTCAGAGGAGGGATCAATTTTAATTGGCTTAGGTCAAATTCTAACTTCCTGGATGAGATAGGAGATGAACTAAGCCATTTGGATGGGCAGATAGGATGGAAAGATATTCCAATCAGGAGAAAAGCATGAAAAAAGGCACTGTCATAGTATCAGTGAAAACAACAAGGAGATGGGCACCAAAGAAATAGGATTTCCTCCAAGGCCTACTGGGAATGAAGATAACTAATACTGATGAAGTTGTCTGAGTGGTTAGTGGGGTCATGAAGAGAACAGAAGAAAATTGGAAGACCTGCTTTTCCCCTGGCTGGCCACACAGAGCCCACACTATGCCCAGAGTCATGGTGAAGGAACCAGCAGGAGTTCATCTGGGCCCTGGCCACCTTCCTGAAAAAGTCAGGGAAGCTGAAAGTGGACACGGTCAAGCTGGTCAAACATAAGGAGCTTGCGCCCTATGAGGAGAACTGTTTCTACACCCGGGCTGCCTCCACAACCCACCACCTGTACCTCTGGGGCAGTGCCTGCTGTGAGCTCCATGACCTAGATCTATGATGGGCACCAGCACAATTGGGTCATGCCCAGTTACTTAAGCAGAGGCTCCAAGAACTTGGCCCGGAGGGTCCTGCAAGCCCTGGAAGGCTTCAAGATGGTGGAGAAGGACCAGGATAGGGGCTAGAAGATGACACCTCAGGGACAGAGAGACCTGGACAGAATTGCCAGACAGGTGGCAGCTGCCAACGAGAAACATTAGGACAAACCACACCAGATTCATTAATAAATTGTCTTGCTCATAAAAAAAAAAGTAGAAAAAGAAAAAGAAAATTAGATGAACTGATCCCTATCCTCATCAAATTACATCTAAAAACAAACAAACAAACAAACAAAAACAACAACAAGAGCAAAAGAGACCCCCACATAAACTTAGTAAAGTGGTAAGTTGACTAGTACCTAGGTGGGACAGTGGTTAGAATGCTTGGTCTGGAGTCAAGATGAATTATCTTCCTGAGTTTAAATCTGTCCTCATATACATAATAGCTGTGTGACCCTGTTTTTAATCACTTAATCCTGTTTGCCTCAGTTTCCTTAACTATAAAAAGTGAGCTAGAGAACAAAATGGCAAACCACTGCAGTATCTTTGCCAGTAAAATCCTAAATGGGGTAATTAGAGGTCAGATGTGACTGAAAAAGACTGAACAACAACAACAAAAGTTGACCACACATTGGAAGTAGGAAGCTTAGCATTATTCCATATTTCCCATAATACCACTTGTTCCTAAAGTAATTGCTATGTTTTATACCTCTTATAAGGTTCAAGTCTAACAACAGCTATACGTGATAAGTGCTGTTGATATCTTCATTTTATAAATTAGGAAACTAGCTGTGAAAAATTAAGTGACTTATTCATGATCATAAATTATGTATCCTAGGCCATATTTAAATCTGGGTATCTGTCAATCTTTCCACTACATCATACTTCCTCCCATTTCCTTCATTGTTATGCTAATGATCCCTTTCTAACCATCCATCTTCCTCCTCCTTTCTTCTCTTCTTTGCAGTACTGGAGATGAACATGCTCGAGGGAACTGGGGTTACTTAGACCAAGTGGCTGCACTCCAATGGGTCCAGAAGAACATTGTCAACTTTGGAGGAGACCCGAACTTGGTGACCATCTTTGGTGTGTCAGCAGGAAGTATGAGTGTTTCAGCACTGGTAAGTTTTCCAGGGTGTCATGCTTGAAATCAGGACTCTTCCAAAAATGTATGTTAGCCCAGCGTGTGAACCCTAACCTCATGTAGATGTTGTTGGTGTTGACTGCTAGTTGCTTTGGTTCTTCCACAGGACCATGTGTGATTCTAGGCATGAGTTTTCTTTCCTAATCAGGTAATAAAGTAGAGAGGATGAGAATGTAGAGCTTACCATGCCACAAGATTAACTATAGAATTTTAACAGTGAAGGTCTGTGGGGCTGAAGAGTTGATTCAGTTTTATAATGTGTTGTTTCTTTCATAATAGCAATAACAATTCACATTTAAAAATACTTAAAATTACTTTCCTCATAGCTACTCTATGAGTTAGGTAATAAAAGCATTATCATTCATACTTGTGCAGATGAGGGAAATAAATTTATGTGTGATAAAGTGACTTGCTTAAAATCACCCAGCTATGAAGTATCTGAGCTAGGATTCATACTTCTGTTTTTAGATTCCAGACCCTATGTTCTTTCCACTCACAGCATCTCTTTGTTGCTCCATTGTTTTCAATTGTGTCAGACTCCTCGTGATCCCATTTGGGTTTTTTTGGGGACAAAGATACTGGAGTGGTTTGCCATTTCCTTCTCCAGCTCATTTTACTGATAACGAAACTGAGGCAATCAGGGTTAAGTTGCTTACCTTAAGTCACACAGCTAGTAAGTGTCTGAGGCCAGATTTGAACTGAGAAAGATGAGTCTTCCTCACCCCAGGCCAGGCACTCTATTCATTGTGCCACCTAGTCCTCTTACTGGAACTCTACAAAGTGACTTAGAGCATTATCACAATGAACACTTAGCTAGCTTTTCACTGAACCATTGCATTCCCCTTCTGAGTGGATGAAAACTCTTTTGATCACTGACACCCACATCCTATTACTTTTCTCTTGACACAATGTCAAGTCTGGGCAAACTTGGGAAGAAATCAAAGTGTGGTTCTGGGACCCATCTCCCCCACCTCCTTTTGTTTTTTCTTTTCTTTCCTCTCCTCTCAGCTTAGTCCTCTCTTACTTCCTTTTGTTTATAATTTATATATTTTTTTCTAGTTTTCAACATTCACTGCCATAAGATTGAGTTTTACATTTTCTCCCCCTCTCTCCCCACGACAGTGTGCAATCTGATATAGGTTCTAGTTATACATTCATATGAAACATATTTTCACATTAGTGTTCACATAAAGAAGAATTAGAATCAATGGAAAGCCATGAGAAAGAAGAAACAAAAGAAAACAACAGAAGAAAAGGAGAGCAAATAATATGCTTCCATCTGCATTCAGACTCCACATCTCTGGATGTGGACAGCATTTTCTATCATGAGTCTTTTGGAGTTGTCTAAGGTCTTTGCATTGCTGAGAAGAGCTAAGTCTATCAAAGTCAGTCATCACAACTCGGTTGTTGCCATGTACAATGTTCTCCTGGTTCTGCTCAATTCATTCAGCATCAATTTGTATAAATCTTTCCATGTTTTCAAACAACATATTGTAGGATTATGGATCTTAATCCACTCTGTTATCTGTTTTGTGAGAGAGTTAATCTCATTCACATTCACAGTTATGATTACTATTCATGTCTTTCCTTCCTATTTTTACCCCTATTTATGCTTTTCTCTCTCCTTTTTCTCTTTCTCTACTCACTAAAGTTTTGCTTTCAACCACCATCTTTCTAAGTCTGCTCTCCCTTCTATCCACCAATTCCCTTTTCTTCTCCTTTCCCCTCCTATTTCCTATAGGATAAGTTAAATTTCTATACCTAACTGATTATGCTATTCCCTCTTTGAGCCAAATATGATGAGACTAAGGTTCAAACAATGCTCATCTCCCTCTCTTCTTTCCCTCTGCTGTAACAGTTTTTGTGCCTTTTCATGTAATGTAATTTACCCTTGTCTGCCACCTCCTTTCCTCTTCTCCCAGAACAATCTCTTCTCACCACTTAATTAGATTTTTGTCATCACATCGAAGTCAACTTATACCCATTCCCTCTGTCTATGTATACTCCTTTTAAATGTCACAATAATGATTCAGTTTTTAAGAGCTACAAGTGTTATCTTCTCTTGTTGGAATGTAGTTTGCCCTTAATAATAATGTGGTGGGTTTTTTTTCCTGTTTACCTTTTTGTGCCTCTTGAGTCTTGTATCTGGTTTTTTTATCAGGATGATTTGAAAGTCCCCTATTTCACTGAATGTCCATCTCCTCCCCTGAAAGATTATGCCTACTTTCACTGAGTAGTTGATTCTTGGTTATCATCTAAGTTCCTTTGCCTTATGGAATATTGTATTCCGTACCCTCCAATCTTTTAATGTAGAAGCTGCAAGGTTCTATGTAATCCTGACTGTGGTTCAATGATATTTAAATTGATTCTTTCTGGCTGCTTGCAGGATTTTCTCCTTGAGCTGAAAATTCTGGAATTTGGCTATAATATTCCTTGGCATTTTCAATTTGAGATCTCTTTCAGGAGGTGATTGGTGGTTTTTTTTGATAACTATTTTACCTTCTGGTTATAGGATGTCAGGGCAGTTTTCCTTCATGATTTCTTGAAAGATGCTATCTAGGATCTTTTTTTTCATCATGGTTTTCAGGTAGACCAATAATTGGTCGACCTGATAGTAATAAATGATAGTAATCATAACTTTAAGTTTTCTTTCCTCGATCTATTTTCCAGATCAGTTGTTTTACCAGTATTTTGCATTTTCTTCTATTTTATCATTCTTTGGTTTCTGTTTGACTGATTCATGATATCTCATAGAGTCATTAACTTCCACTTGCCCAATTGTATTTTTTTTAATGAATTGTTTCCTTCTATTAGATTCTGTACCTCCTTTTCCATTTGGCCTATTTTACCTTTTAAGGAGTTCATCTCTCCATTGAGTTTAAAAATAAATAATAAATTAAGTAAAACCAGACCTCCTTTCAAAGTGGTCACATTCTTTCCAGGAATCCAACACGCTCATTTAGAAATACAAATAGATAGAATACATACAAATATCAATATAAGTATGAAGAATACAAAGAAATCTTGAACAACAGTTATGAAATAATGCAAAATGGAAAAGCTGAAGCTGAAGCTGAAGGGAATACACATTTTCTAGGATCACATGAGGGGTGGTGTTTTTTGAACATAAGTAGATGTACCTTGACCTACCCAATCAGTATTCTTGAAAAATGCTATAACTAGTCATTTTGGCATCTGGGGCAAACAGGTAAAAATATGCCCCAAAATAATAAAAAAAAAAAATAGAATTAATGAGAGACAGAGAAAAACAGAGAGACAGAGACAGAGAGTTTGTGCTAGTGCTAGATGCTGGGAATATAAAGACAAATAGAAAATTTCTGACTTTAAGATGTTTGTACATCACTAGAAAGAAATAACAGCTGTAGATATAATTGATAGTCTGCTCCTAGGAAAGCCTCCATTGGGCTGGGTAGGGGAGCTCTACAGACCTGAGATAGGAAGGAATTCATTTGAGGAGGGTTGGCCAAGAGGAAAAATTTTGCTTTTTGGTACCTTCCAACCTTAACTCTTTGGGGAAATGTCCAAGTGATTTCAATAATTGAGGAAATTATTATAAGAAAACTCCCTCTTTAAAAGCAAACCAACAATAGAGATTACAGAGATGATAATAAGTTGTCAGTTGCACAAGGTTACACAGTCAGTATATGTCAGTTATAGGACTTAAACTCAGATTTCCTAATTTTCAAAGCTGGCCCTCTATCCATACCATAATTGGTCCTGCTGTCTCTATTTTAACTATTTTTTGTAGCAGGAAGCTAAACCACAGTTTTTATGTTGGTGAAGAGTATTGTCAACATCCTCCCAATGTGCTGAGACAAAGCTACAATTTTCTTACCTTAGTTAAGAGTGCTGGTCCTAAATCATAATCTCACTTCTTTTCTTTTTGTCCCCTCTCAGGTTCTTTCTCCTTTGACTAAAAACCTCTTCCATCGAGCCATTTCCCAGAGTGGAGTTGCCATTATGGAATCCATGTTTGTTTCTAACATCAAATCAACGGCTGAGGTTGGTTTTTGACATTATATGACTCTCCAAAAACAAAACTTAACTCCATTTACAGATTTAAAGGATTTAGAGCTATAAGGAACATTAGAAATAATTTAAGGGTGCCCTTTCATTTTACAGAGGTAAAAATGGAATCCCTGAATAAAGAATTGACATCTTTAAGTCACACAGGAAGGTTGTTGTTAATTAATCATTTTTTTAAATTAGCAAGCATCTATTTTCTGTTTTTTTTCCTTCCAATTCCTTTCCTCTCTAGAAAAGAAACACACACAAACACACACACACACACACACACACACACACACACACACACAAAACAAAAGTCTTTTAATAAACATGCACAAGCAAGCAAAAATTCCAAAAATGGCTAAGTTAAATAATGTTTTTTTTTTCTTTTTCATATTAGTCCATCATGTCTCTCTCAGGAGGTGGACAACGTTCTTCAATATCAGTCCTTTGGAATCACAATTCATCATTTTGTTGATCTGAGTTCTTAAATCCTTCAAAATTGTCTTTAAAATTGTGTTGTAGTACACAGATTGGTCCCCTGATTCTTCTCACTTTACTTTGTGTTCAGTTCATACAAGTCTTCCTAGACTTCTCTGAAACTATTCCCTACATCATTTCCTTGAACACAATAATTTTCTATTATATTCATATGCCATAATTTGTCAAATATTCCCTATTTGTTTGACTTTACCAAAAGCTTTCCTAAGTATTTTTTGGACACATAGCACCTTTTCCCTTTTTTTTTAAATCGTTTTGTTCATATAGGCCTAAGGGTACATCTAGTTTAGTAATGTCTTAGCAATAGTTTCAAATTCATTTCTAAGATGTCTAGATCATTTCACAGCTGCATCAATTGTATCAATATTCTTTTCCTGAATCCCTTCCAACTTCTATAATTTTCCTTTTTTGTCAATTTTTCCAATCTTATGGATGACCTCAGAGATGCTTTCATTTTTTCTAATTATTGATGATTTCAAATATTTTAAATGAATTTTAAGTAGTTTAGATTTTTTCATTTGAGAGCCAACTTTTCACATATTTAGTAATTTATGAATTCTTGAATTATATATATTCTTACAAATTCAAATCAGTTCCTGATATATCTTAGAAATGCAGCCTGTGTCTCTCTACTTTACTGTTTCTCTTTTAATCTTAATTGAACTGGATTTGGTTTTTGAATTTTTTAAAAAAAATTATAAAATCAAAATGTTTTATTTATCTTCTGGGATCTTTTCTGTTCCTTGTTTGATCAAGAACTATTCCCCATTCATTGATCTAAAAAGATAATTTCTTCCTTGTCCTCTAATTTGTTTATGATATGGCCTTTTATACCTAGGTCATGAATCCATTTAGAAATTATCTTTGTACATCATATGAGGTATTGATCTAAGCCAAGTATTTGCCATATTGCTCTCTACTTTTCCTAGAGTTTGTCAAATAATACTTACCCCAATAATTGAGATCTTCAGATTCATTGTTCAGCAAATAGTGTACCTAATCCATTTCTGTGATCACAAATCACACAGGAAGGAGCAGGGCTTTTTGAATTTCACTACTCTGGCTTCCATTCTGGAATTTTCCCCAATATACCATGTCACACTTTCAGGAATATAAGATTACCCTTGTCAAATTTTGTTATAGAAAATTGCAGCCTTTGCTGGGTGTAAAACAACCACTTCAGCCAGTATGGTTCATTGCCTGCGGCAGAAGACAGAAGAAGAAATCCTGAATGCAGCTCTAAAGATGGTAAATGTCCTTAGGCTTCTGACCTCTTGTCCTTTTAATAAGAATCATTTTACATGATCTCTTCAGACCTGCTAATTTTCCTAGGAAGCTTGAATGGTCTGCCATGGATGAAAAACATTGACCTGCAGAACTACAGATCAGTGAGTTGGGAAGGAACATTTATTTTCACCAGAAACGTAACAGGCAATTTTTGTACCTGGTTTTAAGTGTGACAAAATGATCCTTGGACATCCCTGGGGGAAGGGGGTGCCTTGATTTGAGCAGGAGTGTTTGAGGAAAAGAAGTTGGTACTGGTGGGAAAGCCAGGAAAGAGTGCCTTTTTGTACACAGGAACTAAGGCCAGGGGTGGGAAACCTAATTTGTTCTGAAAAATGTGGATTCAGTCAAAAGGCTGCATTTAAGTATCTAGAAGGCCACATGTAGTCTGAAGGCCATAGATTCCCCATCCGTAATACTAAGCATTACATTAATTACTTTTGTTAAACCAGTGCTATTCAGTTGTTCCTCTGATCCTGAAGGATATTAGAGTCTTAGAGAAAAGCCCTGATTTCCCTATCTTATTTACAGCTCTGCCTTTCAAAAAGGTCTTTTCAGCTTATCTTGTTTAATTTGAAAATCACCCATGTCATGATCTAGTAAAGGGTTTTCCAAGTTTTGTTTCTGATATCCACCTGCCTGCACTCAAGAAGTTTGACCAGAAGAATTCTTGATATCCCTCCTCACATCAGGATAGCATACAGTCAGCATTTCTGGGAAGTTAATGTTATGGAGAAGACTAAGGTATATATATGTACAAGAGATGATGTGGGGAGGAGGCGTTCCCTGAAACTACAGGGAACTTGATGTGTGTTGTTGCTTTGCCTGAAGAGAGGGAGCTTCATAGCATAGGCCATCCTAGAGAGCAATGTACCTTTCACAATGAGGCCAATCTGACCAAGGGCTAAGTAAATGTTGAAATGTACAAAATAAAATATAGCTTTGAGATAATTAGTTAGATCTACTAAAGCCCTGAGCAAATTAGAATGAGACATACCCAGATAAGTGAAGACAAAGTAGTTTGTTGGACCAAGAATGATTTATATAATTGCATGATTTATTGCTTTGTACACATGAACCCAGTTTGTTAGGGACTAGTAGTTAATTTTGGGGGAATCTAGTCATTCTATAAATTCAGAACAAGGCCCTAGCACTTTCAGAAGTATTCAATTATGGGACTATTTCTGCACTAATTTTGAAATTAGCCATTCAAAAATCCGGAGCAAAGTGCCTCTCTTCTTATTTGTAGGCATATGCCTCTTCAGACATTTCTTCCAGAGCTCTAGCTTCAAGAAAGTGTAGGTAGGATAGCAAAATCTCTATATTCTCATCTGGTTACTCCAAGTTGGAATTCTAAGAGACCTTTTGACTCTTTTCTTAGATTCCATAGCCTGACTTTCCCACTCCTGTGAAGCACAGGGACCAGAAATACTTCCTACCTGAACCTAATCTTGACAAACTATGAAAAAGTCAGGTGAAGAAGCAAGATAAGCACTTTCTAAGAAATTTTTCTCACCCATCTTTTTTCTGTCTTCACAGGGACTATTCAGCGTGAATTTTGTGGGAGACCCCACACAGGTTAGAAATCCTTGTTTGTTTGTTTGTTTTTTAATTGAGTTTTGATTTCTTCAAGTTCCAGTTAAACAAAAGGAAGGCAACCTTATTTGAATGGAGTCATTTCAGTCCCATAGCCTTGAGGAATAGTCTGTCCCATTCTCAGGCTACTGCCAGGTTAATATTGCATAATAGCCATTAATGAACATACCCTCTTCAAGAGGCTGAGGTTATTCTTTGTCCCTTTCAGAGCAATCCCCTAGAGAAACACGTGACCTGGGCTAACAAACTATTTCAGAAGTTGTAAGAGATTTTGCCAAGGCTCCAGGGAAGGAAGCCTATGATTGCTAACGCCAACCACCTCTTATATACCCTATGAGAATAATACCTGTAAGTCTTTGCTTTGGGTTAATTATTAAGTAACAATGTTGGGGGTTAATTGGCCTACTTGTGATTCAAATATTTTTTTTTCCTATCAGTTCTATATTAGCTTTCTCCTTGGCTCCCATCACCATCACTACAAAGTTAGTCCCCATTACAATATTTGTAGGAGACTCTTGGGCCACTTTTTAATTCAGATTATCCCTTAAATTCTACCTGCTCCAAGAAATCCTCTTGGACTTATCAAAAGAGAAAAAATAATTTCCCTCCAACCCCACTGTCCTTAAGTTTGGACTTTTGAATCTTCCCAAATTCTTACCCCATCTAAACATCCATGGTTTGTATGTATAAATGTTTCTTCTCTTCTTAGCCTAGTTGCCATATTGAACTGATGACCTGCAGTCTGTTTTGCACTAGTGGCAAATCGTGGTATAGTGGAAAGAACCCTGGATTAAGAGTCAAGTAGCTAGTCCACAATAAGTACATGATCAATATTTGTGGAATAAGAGAATTATGTTCTCTAAGATCTCTTATCTCTAGAAATTCAAGAGTCTATAATACTTTTCAGCCACAATTTCCTCATCTGTATAATGGAATTATTACATGGTTATGACTAAATGTAATAATGGGTGTTAGTGTAATTTGTAAGTGGGGAAATTCTGTACATATGTATAGTTTTATTCACAGAATCACAAAATTTAAGAATTAGAAGGACCAAAAATAGAAAGAGAGATAGTGGGTTCATCCTTCTTGGAGGGGAGACCCTAATACAATCACTTTCAGGTATACTATAATGGGGATTTCTTTCACATATGGTTGTGCTATATGACTGCTGAGGGAAAATTTCCAGTCCTAAGATCTGTATTCTCTTCTTTGTAATTTCCATATCTTGCTCCTGGTTCCACCTCCTGTAGCCAAAGAAAACAAATCCAATCTGTATTCTCCATGACAGCCTTCCATATCTGAACACAGCTGTCATAATCCTCCTGAGTCTTTAGGCTTTGGGCTAAATATTCCAAGCTCCTTCAACAAATTTTATTTGACATGAAATCAAGGACCTTCACCATCTGGTTGGCCCCCTTTGGAAGCTTGTTTACATTTCTTCTACATGCCTTTGAAAAAAAATCTCATTTGCTTAAAGAGTATCCTATTTCACTTCAGACAACTCCCATTTTTCTTATGCATTGGCATTACTTCTATTTCTACTTCAAAATTTCATTCCTGAGAGGTTCTCCTCCTTCCTGGATTGATTTTGCCAGTAGAATTTTAGTCCATGGTATCCTAGAAGCAATTAGGTGGTATTGTGTGTAATTTGGATAGAAGTGGAGTCAAAAAGATCTGAGTTCCAATCTAACCTCAAAAATTTATTATCTGTGTAATCATGGGCAAGTCACTTAATTTTCTGTGTCAGTTTCCACATCTGTAAAATAAGGATTAATAACAGCATTTACCTCACAAGATTGTAAAGAGGCAACATGAGCAGTGCTTTGCAAACCTTAGGTGTTGTATAAATGTGGGATATTATTTTATTATTTACTTTTATTGTTATCCTGTCCATGCTTCCACTGAACTGTTGAAATCTGCTTTCTCCAAATGTAGAGCTCTGCTTCTGAATGAAAAAAAAAAGCAAATGAAAAATTGGGCTGCATTAAAATAGACATGGTTTCTAAGAGCAAAGAGGCTATTGAATAGTGATATTCTGTATTTTACCCTGGTGATAGTATTATATCAAATTCTCAGTGCAACAATTTATTAAGAACATGAGTAAGGTGAAGATTGGCTAGAAATTAGAATTCTGACAGACTTCTACTTTATGCCAGATGAAGATCATGTAAAGATATTTACACCAAATGTTTAACAAGGACATGGTAGTTTCCTTCAAGCAGATGAATTGCTCCTATGTGACAAAGCAAATTAGATTTGTTCATTTTGACCCCATGAACTCGACCTAGGAACAGTGAAAGGATATTGCAGAAGGCCGGATTTAAGCTTGACCTAAGGAAACGATTCCTAATGACTAGAACTATCCAAAAGTTGAATGTGCTGCCTGAAAGGTTTAAGCATTCTACCTCATGGAAGAGAATGGGTGAAGGATATCTATTTCTTTGGGTATGTCAGAGAAGGGATTCCTTTTCAATTATGAGTTGGACTAGATTGCATCTGAGTACTCTTACAACTTTGAGATTCTTAGTTTTGTGATGGGACTATCACTTAAAACAATTAACAGGCATAGTAGATAGAGCACTGGGCCTAGAGTCATAAAGACCTGAGTTCACATCTGACCTCAGATATGAGCTGTGTACTCTGGACAAGTCATTTAGTCCTAGGTCCCTCAGTTTCTTCATCTGAAAAAAATGTTTGCATCACTATTTTTTTCCTTTCAGAACATTGTATTGCCTCCTACAGTTGTGGATGGAATATTTTTCCCCAAGAGTCCCAAAGACCTCCTCACTGAAAAGCAGTTCAGTCGTGTCCCCTATATTGTGGGATTCAACAGCAATGAATTTGGCTGGATTCTTCCAACTGTGAGAACACTGTTTTTATTCCTTATCTCATGTTTGTTCTGTCTCCAGGATGAGGACCTTCCCCTCCACATCCACCCTTACTGGTTGAGTAAAGAAAAAAATGTCTTCTTTGTTATAGGACCATTATGCCATGTTAGCACTTTACTTCTCACCTTTGGCATAGGACTGTATTTCGAAAGAAGTGCTCCAGACAGTGGTCAAGTTATTGGACAGATAAAGCTGGTGTTTAGTGCTCCCTAATTCAAAGATCAGTGACATTAGAGACCATCTAATCTAATCACTTCATTTGCAAATAAGAAAACTAAGATCTAAAGAAGGAAGGGGTCATCAGGAGGTCACATATGAGTTAGTAGTGGACTTAGAAATAAAACTTAGGCCTTTTCCCTTTTGGGGTTCTATTCCTACAACACAGTGCATAGGATCCTCATGCTCCCTCCAACTTCCTAGTTGACCATACTGGTTATAGGAAGTCACTATAGTTTCTTGAGTGAGGGGTGAAAGGGGTGGGGAGACATTCTTACATAACTGCTTCAGGAAAAAAAATCATTTGGGTAGATTATTGGAATGTGAATTCAGTGGGGAGAGACTTGAAGCAGGCAGACCCACCAGCAGGATATTAGAAGAGTCCAAGCACGAGTTGATGAATGCATATAACAAAGTGCTGGCAGAAGAGAAGGTGGCAAATTTGAGAAGTGTTACAAAGGTGAAATGGATAGGATCTTGGCAGCAGCTTGGATACAGGGCATGAGAGATAGTGCAGAGCCAAAGATAAATAAGACTTAATGGTCATGAAATGACCCATTGGCCAGCCTTCTAAACACAATGAGAACCCTAGGATGTTTTCATCAGTTGGACAAATGTGAGGCAACTATTATTTTCATAATTTTAAAAATCATGTTCCTATTTTTGTATTTTCTTGGAATATTTTATACACTAAATTAATTCATTGATCTAACCCAACATGGAAGATCTTGTTTCAATGACAAAGTGTTTTCTTTACTTGTTTCAAAAGGAATACTTCACTTCATTTGTTGACTGCCATTGCTTTTTGTAAGTTTTCATTTTTATGAATGGAAAGGACTTCCAGGAGCCAAGGTAGTGGACTAAGCAATAAATCGATGTCCCATAGGCACCTCCAACAAGCATAAAATAGTGCCCCCAAACAAATTTTGGAACAGCAGAACCACCAAAAAGAGGGGGTGGAGCAACACTTGGAAGATCAGCAGGAGAGGTCTGTCTCACTCAGGAAAAAGGAAAGTAGTTCAGGACAGAAAGTGTCCCAGCAAGCCAGTGGCAAGCTCCACCTTAGCAAACAAGTGGGAGACCCTTAGCCCCAATGTGGTGGAGCAGGCAAATGCCAACACCAGGACATCCCATGTGCCTCAGCATAGCCAAGGGAATGGATAGATCCCAGTGACTAGAACCACCAAGTGCTTTAGCCTAGCCCTGGGCAAACACATAGATACCAACCTAAGGGTGTTTAGGCAAAAAGGCATCTAATAGGAGGGCCCCCACTGTGTGCTTCAGCATAGCCCCAGGGAAATGCAGAAACACTCTACAGGCCTCAGCCCATACCAGACAACACCATTAGTACCCTAGCTCAGCACCGGGTAAGTTGTCAGACCCCTAAAGCCTACATCATTGCCAGCCACCCCCAATGCACCCCCTTAGTGCAGTACTAGACACACAGGTGCCCCAGTGAGTGTCAGGGCAATATCACACAGAGTAAAGATAAGTGGTGGAGCAGAATCTATTATGCTTCAGTAGAAGTAGAAAAATCAGGGGTAGCCATCTTGATCTTGGACAAAGCAAAAACCAAAAATAGACCTAATTAACAAAGATAAGGAAGGAAATTATGTCTTGTTAAAAGGTACTATAGACAATGAATAGCAATATTAAACATATATGCACCAAGTGGTTAGCATCCAAATTGTCAGAGGAGTTAAGTGAGTTACAGGATGAAATAGACAACAAAATTATACTAGTGGGGCACCTCAACTGTCCCCTCTCAGAATTTGATAAATCCAATAAAAAATAAATAAGAGAGAAACTAAAGAGGTAAATAGAATGTTAGAAAAGTTAGATATGACAAACCTTTGGAAAAAACCTAATGGGAACAGAAAGGAACATATTGTGGTAGCACATGGCACCTACACAAAAATTGACCATGTATCAGGGCATAAACTCTGAAGAGTTAAATGCAAAAAGACAGAAATGCTAAATGTTTTATTTTTGGATCATAATGCAATAAAAAAAGACATTCAACAAAGGGCAATGAAAAGATAGACTAAAAATTAATTGTAAACTAAATAATTTAACCCTAAGTAATGAGTGGGTCAAAGAACAAATCATAGAAACAATCAGTAACTTCATTAAAGAAAATGACAACAATGAGACGACATCCCAAAATTTATGGGATGAAGCCAAAGCAGTATTTGGGGGAAATTTTATTTCTTAAAAGTCTTACATCAACAAAATAGAGAAAGAGCATATCAATGAATTAGGTAAGCAACTCAAAAAAAGTAGAAAAAGAACAAAATTTAATTTAATTTAATAATTGAGTGTCAAATTGGAAATCCTGAAAATTGAAGGTGAAATTAATAAAATTTAAAAATTATATATATATATATATATGTGTGTGTGTGTGTATGTGTGTGTGTGTGTGTGTGTATAGAGAGAGACAGACAGAGAGACAGAGACAGAGAGAGAGACAGAGAGAGCTAATAAATAAAACTAGGTGCTGTTTTTATTAAAAAAATAAGATAGATGTCATTGGTTAATTTGATTTTTAAAAAAAAGAAAGAAGAAAATCAAATATCCAGTGTTAAAGTGAAAAAGGTAAAATCATCACCAATGAAGAAGAAATTAAAGTAATCATTAGGAATTTTTTTTGCCCAATTATATGCAATAAATCTGTCAATATGATAGAAACTGATGAATATTTATGAAAATATAAATTACTGAGATTAATAGATAAGGATATAGAATTCCTAAACAAACCAATCTTAGAAAAAGAAATTGAACAAGCCATTAATGAAGTACCTAAGAAAAAAAATTTCAGGGCCTAATGTGTTCATTACAAGTGAATTCTATCAAACATTTGAAGAACAATTAATTCTAATACTATATAAACTATTTTGAAAAATAGGAGTCCTACAAAACACCTTTTATGACACAAATATGATGCTGATACCTAAACCAGGAATAGCTAAGACAAAGAAAGAATATTATAGATAAATTTCCCTAATGAATTTTGGTGCAAAAATTTTGAACAAGGTGCTAGCAAGGCGATTAAAGCAATATATCACAAGAATTATTCACTATAACCTCGTGGTATTTATACTAAGTTTACAGGTTTGGCTCAATATCAGGAAAACTATCAACATACATCAGTAACAAAACTAACAGAAATCATATTGTCATCTTAACAGATGTTGAAAAAGCTTTTGACAAAATAAAGTGCCCATTCCTATTTAAAAACAAAGGAGAGCATCAGAATAAAGGGAGCATTCCTTGAAATGATAAGCAGTATGTATCTAAAATCATCAGCAAGCATTTTATGTCATTGGAATAAGATAGAAACCTTCTCAACAAGGTCAGAGGTGAAGCAAGGATGCCCATAATCACCACTATTATTTAATATTGTACTAGCTTGTTAGTTATAACAATTACAGGAGAAAAACAAATTGAAGGAATTGGAGGAGGCAATGAGGAAATAAAACTATCACTCTTCACAGAGGAGATGATGGTAAACAAAGAGAACTCTAGAGAATCAACTAAAAAACTACTTGCCATAATTAACTACATTAGAAAAGTTGCAAGGTATAAGATAAACCCACATAAACTATCATCATTTCTTTTTTTTTAATTTCTTCATCTTCACTGCTGAACAAAAACTTCAAATATGTAGAAAATAGGTGACATTTAGAAAGCAATTTTAATATAGTAGCAGCAAAAATATAACTATAAGCCACACCATTTGTCCCCTAGTTACAAGTAAAAACAAATTTTAACATTCTTTTTACAATTTTTGAGTTCCAAATTCTCTTCCTTCCTCCCTCCTTCCCCTCATTGAAAAGGCAAGCAATTTGATCTTGGTTATACACATATAGTCAAGCAAAATGTATCCATAATGGCCATGTTGCGAAAGAAAACAGACCAAAAAAAAAATTCAAGAAAAAATATTGAAAGTAAAAGAAAAAAGTATGATTCAATTTGTATTCAGATGCCATTCGTTCTTTATTTGGGGATAGAAAGACTAATAGGATAGAAAAGTTAAATAGCAAATGTTAGAGGAGATATGGGAAAAAATGAAACATTAATGCACTCTTAGTGGAGTTATGAATTGATTCAACCATTCTGTAGAGCAATTTGGAACTTCGGCCAAAGGGTTATAAAACCATGCATACCTTTTGACCTAGCAATACCACTACTAGGTCTGTATCCCAAAAAGGGATAAAAAAAATGACTTTCAGAGTTGTCTTGGATCATCATATTGTTGAGAATAGCTAAGTAATTCACAGTTGATCATCTTACAATATTACTATTAATTGGTACATAGTACATTTTATTTTGCTTAGCTCATAAAAGTCTTTCCAGGTTTTTCTGAGAGCATCATGCTCATCATTTCTTAAAGTACAATAACATTCTGTCATAAGCACATACCACAACACTCCCCAGTTGATAGGCACCCCCTCAATTTCTTATTCTTTACCCCCTGAAAAGAGCTGCTATGAATATTTTTGTACAAATAAGTTCTTTTCCTTTCATTTTTTTTATCTCTTTTTGGGATACAGAGCTAGTAGTGGTATTGCTAGGTCAAAAGGTATGCATGGTTTTATAACCCTTTGGCCAAAGTTCCAAATTGCTCTACAGAATGGTTGAATCAATTCATAACTCCACTAACAGTGCATTAATGTTTCATTTTTCCCATATCTCCTTTAACATTTGCTATTTAACTTTTCTATCCTATTAGTCAAGCTCATAGGTATGTGGTATTA